TCGAAGGGGAGCAGGTTTAACTGAACGCATTGCGTTTGTAAGCCTGCTGACGTATGAGGAGTGATCTACCGCTGGTGGGAAGCTCGAGGGAGAAACAAACTCACCTGGCAGTCGTAGTGTCGTGCCATATACTAGCTCAGCGGTAGTACAACCAGCATCGGTTTTTAAGGCGTTTCGTATCCCTAGGAGAACTAACGGAAGGGATTCAGTCCAATGGGTGTTATTTGCAGCTGATAAACCAGCTTTCAACTGTCTGTGTAGACGTTCTACCATACCATTAGCTTGTGGATGGTAGGCTGTTGTTCGAAAACGCATGCAACCAAGGATTTTAGTTAGAGCGAAGAATAAACCGCTTTCGAATTGCCGCCCGCGATCAGTTGTTATGGAAGATGGGCATCCAAAGTTTGCGATCCATCTTTCTACAAAGACGCGTGTGACGGTTTCAGCAGATACATCCTTGAGGGGTACTGCTTCAGGCCATCGTGTGAAACGATCGATGCAGGTTAACATATAGGTATATCCATGAGATTCTGGAAGGGGGCCAACTAAATCTATATGGACGTGTTCGAAACGGGCATCAGGGATAAGAAAGGTGCCAAGGGGGCTTTTGGTGTGTCTTATTACCTTGCACTTTTGGCAAGCTAAGCACGTGTGTGCCCATTCCCTTACTTCCTTATTAATACCAGGCCAACAAAACCGACTAGTTACGAGCTTGACGGTAGTTCGAATACCTGGGTGGGATAAGCCATGCAACGTATTGAAGACGTTACGGCGATAACTTTTAGGCACGATGGGGCGAGGAGTACTAGTGGAAATGTCGCAGAGAATAGTATCTTTTCCTATACCTAAGGGTTTCTCGGCTAATTGTAGAGTTGTTTTCGACAACTCATGCTGAAGCTCGGTATCTTCTTTTTGAAGACGAGCCAGTTTTACAAGGTCTATGCCGTCGATTTGGGTGAAGGAACAAATACGTGACAAGGCATCTGCCACAGTGTTGTTCACTCCGGATACATGGCGAATATCCGATGTAAACTGTGAAACGTAATCCAGTTGTCGTGATTCCCTGGGTGAATACTTATCTGAAGTTGAGTTCAGAGAGTACGTCAGAGGTTTGTGGTCAGTGAAAATGATGAATTCACGACCCTCAACTGAATGTCGAAAATGGCGTATAGCACAGTACATAGCTAGAAGTTCTCTTCCGAATGTGCTGTACTTCGTTTCAGCTAATTGAAGGCGCCTCGAGAAAAAGGCGAGTGGTTGCCACTCTTTGTTAACTAGTTGTTGCAGAACTGCGCCGATTGCAGTGTCTGATGCATCAACTGAGATACTTAACGGTGCCGTTGGATCCTGATACATAAGAAGGGTGGCATCCGCAATAGCTTTCTTTACCTGAGTAAAAGCATGTCGAGAAGACGCGTCGAGTTCGATAGACTTGTTATTCCCTCGAAGGAGGTCTGTTAATGGCTGAATCAGAGAAGCACAGTTAGGAATAAATCGTCGGTAATAACTTACCAAGCCGTTAAAAGTGCGAAGACTTTTCACTGTCTTTGGCTCCGGAAAGTTCAGTATCGCCTCGACTTTAGTAGCCAGTGGGCGAATGCCCTGACAGTCAATAGTGTGACCCAGAAAATCGAGTGAGTCAACGCCTATTTGACACTTTTGGATATTGATGGTAACACCATGTTGGCGTAACCTTTCAAATGCCAAGTCCAAGTGTCTAAGGTGAGTTTCCTTATCTGGACTGGCAATGAGGCAGTCGTCTAAGTATGCGTATACAAAGTCGAGACCGCGAAATACTTCATCGATGAAGCGTTGGAATGTTTGGGCCGCATTCCGGAGGCCGAATGGCATACGTAGGAATTCGAAAAGTCCGAAAGGTGTGATGATAGCCGTTTTCGGAATATCTTCCGTTGCCATCGGGATTTGGTTATACGCTTTAACCAAGTCGATTTTTGAGAATATAGATGCTCCAGATAACGTTGCCGTCAAGTCGTGTATGTGAGGCAAAGGGTAGCAATCAGGGGTTGTTTTGGCGTTCACTCGCCGGTAATCACCAGTGGGTCGCCAATCGTTACTATCCTTTTTCGGTACCATATGCAATGGGGATGCCCATGGACTATTCGATGGCCGAATGATGCCAAGGGTGAGCATATGATCGAATTCATTTCTAGCAATTCTCAGTTTGTCAGGGGCCAGTCGTCGTGCTTTAGATGTCACGGGCTGTCCTGAGGTTATGATGTGGTGCATAACATTGCTGGTTATGCACGGGAGATCGTTAGATGGGCAATTGAGTTCCGGATATTTGTCAACAATCGGTTGAAAAGTTGGATCGAGGATTGCTTTCATCTTAACGATTGACAAGCTGGGGCCTATGTAAGTTATGCCTTTTATAGACAGACTAGTAGTGTTGTCAATTAGTCGTTTACGGCGGACGTCTACGAGCAAATCATGATGATTGAGTAGGTCCGTGCCGATGATGGGCATTGTGACGTCAGCGATAAGGAAAATCCACTGAATAGGTTTGCGTAAACCTACGTTCAGATAGACGTATTTCCGACCAAAGGTTGCAATTGGTTTTCCATTTGCAGCCTGTAAGTTGAAGTTAGGTTCCTTCTGTCGATCTGCTGCTGTAGCAGGAAGGACGCTGACTTCGGCGCCTGTGTCGACTAAATATCTAGTCTGGCTCATTACATCATGGATGTAAAGTAAGCGGCTAGTGCCACCGGCGACGGTTGCCGCTAACGCGTGCCGGCGGGATAGTTTCCCACAGACTTGGAGGCTTTGCCGAAATCACAAGGTTTTCGACAACATTTCGCTTCCTGGCCATAGGTGTTGTGATACCAGCACCAGTCAGGATTTTTGAGAGAACGTGTGTTGGACTTAGATCGTCCACGTGCGTTTTGCCGTTGAGGGGATTTAGAACGACGGTAGGAGGAATTGCTAGGCTTGTTTGACCTAAGCATCTGCTGGATGGAGTTGCATAACTCTATCATTGCAGAATCCTTACTCGAAGTCTGTTCGGTAACTGAGTATACTTCGGTAACTGGCCGTTTAGTTATCTCTAGAATTCTATCTGCAGAAACAGCTAAGTCATCCATGAGAACACCCTGAAGTGTCACAAGTACAGTCTGAACTGACTGTGGCAGTTTGGATAAAAATAGTTCTCTGAACAGTCCTTCGTCGAACTGACTTTGGCCAATAATCTCTTTCATTCTTGCCAGCATGCTCACGGCTGACTGATCCCCTAACTCGATGTTACGAAATAATTCATCCAGACGTTGTCGATCCGTGAGAACGTTTCTCTTGAGGAGGGATGCTTTGAGCAACTCGTACGAGTTACTTACCTCTGGACCCGACATCTGCAGAGTTACGCACTTGCTGAATTCCCGCGGTAGGGCGTGAATAACTGCAAGGAACTGTGAACGTTGATCGGTTATGCCATGTTCACAAAAATCAGACTCAGCTATCTGAAACCACGTTTCAGCATTATCTGGCCAATATGGTACGAGCTGAATTGTTTTGGTGGCTGAGCGAATACGAATAACCTTGGGGCTAGGATCAGTCATGACGAAAAGTATGCCGATTACAAAGGAGTACAAGAACAAACACAAAAAGGAACGAACTCACCGGGTTTATCTGCGTGTGAATTGAAGATGTAGTTCGTGGTTGGGCTCACCAGTTTAGAGGCTGACGGTATCGACGTTCGCGAGTTGTACGGATTATACTAACGCAAGATCTTATACCAACAACTTCTATAGTGTTCGCACTTCGAGTACCAAAGATAAAGCAAAAGACCAGATTTTGTCGTCCAAAGTACGCATTATGTTTCGGGACCAAATCGCGGGTAGAAGTGAATGCTTAGGGAGATAGTAATCGTGCACGCACGTGACACGACGGAGTACCAAATGGTGGGGATGCTTGACCGGAAGCCTTCAGCTAAACAAGTCGACTTAAACAGTGAGGGTCAGCATCCAATGTTGAGTGATGATTGCTGTGGTCAATAATTTTGGGGAATTATTTACCGCTACACTAGCTAGCTAAGCATTCACTTCTACCCGCGATTTGGTCCCGAAATATACTACGTACTTTGGACGGCTAAATCTGGTCTTTTGCTTTGTCGTTGGTACTCGAATCGCGAACACTATAGAAGTTGTTGGTATAAGATCTTGCGTTAGTTTAATCGGTACAATTCGCGAACGTCGATACCGTTAGCCTCCAAAGTCTTTAAATTAGAGGACGCTGCGAAAGGTCAACCCAAATCAAATCCTGCTCGCCTAAATGGATTTTGCGATGGTAAGTACAGTAGTCTTCTTATTCTCTAGGCACTTTTTCTGCATATCAGGTAGGTCTAGTAATTTTTGGTTTTAGGATTAAGGGTAGGATTAGAGTTCCGGTCAGGCCAAAGAACAGTATCAAGGATATCAATGGATACCGAAGGATCATTATCTACAGTCACCTCGATGAAGACATCTATCGCACACGATATCATTTCTCAATGGATCATCCTTGGAGTAACTAAGAAACATTCTTATGACACGTAAGGGACAATTATACGGTATAATATCATGGTTTAGCGCAGTAATGTGCTAATCGTTATGCAACTTTTCTGCATCTGGATCCTGGCTGGTTGTTCAAAGTCAAGATGGGCTTGGCTATGATAATTTAACTTCGCCGAATTGTGATTTCAGGTGTTTCCTGGCTGCCATCATGAACAACCAAGACTAACGAAAGACAAATTTCCAGGTCACTGATGAGCTGACTTTGGGTCAAAGTGAAAAAGAAATCATATAAAATGTGCTACTCGAGATAATTACCCTATAGCGGGTAGCCGATTGGCACTGAAATTTTTGCTAACATTTCTAACGCTGTCAGATAAAGAAATAAGACATCATGATAAAATGACACTGACGAACACACAACTAAGGCTATCACGGATCACAGTGTTCTTACTATCAGTGTATTTCAAGGAAAAAATGACAAGGAGAAGGAGTGAAACCAACCTTCAACACCACGAGGTAACGTACAAAACGAAATATGTTTCAAAGTCACTTGTCTAGTGTCCAATTTGGATTTCACATTCAGATTTGAGGTTGGTTGAGACTAGAAGGCTTGGAGCCTAGGTTAATCCCTTTCTAATAAATCTATGTGCTTGTTCAAACCCTTTTTGAATGAAAATCAGTTGAGGTTGCAGACACCACTTCTTCTGCGAGTCGGTTCCAAGAGTTTATTACTCGATGTGAGAACCTGTACTCAACAGCAATATGATTTCTTCTTGGCTTTTGAGCTCTTGTGCTATGTCTTCGAAGGTTCTCCGACATGGTGGGAAGGAAAATCGAGAATAGGTCAGGTCATTATTTAAAACTTTAATCAAATCTCCTATCTTTCTACGGCATGATAGGGAGAAGAGATTTAAATTGTCTTGTCTTTCTTCGTATGATAAGTTAGTCATGCCGAGAACCACACGTGTTGTCTTCCTTTGAATCCTTTCTAGAATATGTGAGTCCCCTTTAAGACAAGGACAGGATGCCTGGATACATTTTTCCAGTCTTCACCTCACCAGAGATGCATATAAGGAGGTAAACATTTCTGTGGTGATTTCAGTAAAGGATCTGCGAATTTCCCATAAGGACCTGAATCTACGTGCAGCCAGGGTGCTGTAGTTTTTAAGTCGTGACTGACTATGACACCTAAATCCAAATGAGCAGGAGTGTTATTCTCTCTAGTTCGTAGGAGCTGATGCTTGCTTGTCCGATGCACATGGGTACACATTTCGCCACATTGATCGGGAGTTCCTGTTCTCTGAACCACTCTGACAATTTGTTGATGACCTTTTGCAACGTGAGCGTATCAGTGTCGCCCTTCAGGCTTCTCCAAATTTTTGAGTCATCTGCGCACAGGACCATGGGGGAATCAGTGAGCAGATATAACTCAATGATATACAGATTAAGAGGAGAGGTCCGATTACTATGCCTCGTGGTACTCCGCCACGCACTGCTGTCCAGGAGGACAGTTTCGAGTTGATCCTAACCCTCTGCTTACTATCTATTAGGAATACCCTAAGCCAGTTTAGTAACCTGCCTTTGTTACCAAGACTTTCCAACTTCATGAGTGGTCTTTTGTGAGGAACTTTATCAAAGGCTTTGCTGAAGTCTATGAAGACGATGCCAACAGGCATTCTGTTGTTTCCTGATTTGACCCAGCATTCTCTCGCATTGAGGAGATTTGACAGTCATGAGAGGTTTCTTCGGAAGCCATGAAGTGCTCTGGATAACAAATTGTTGTTTTGCAGATATGCCATGATACTTTTCTCGATGATTCTTTCCAGTATCTTGATTAAAGTGCTGGTGAGACCAATAGGCCTGTAATTTGAAGGGCTTTGTCTTGATCGTCCTTTTTGGATGTGGGTTACTATGGCATCTTTCCAATCACGCGGTAACACTCCATTTAGGAGAGAGAGCTTGAAGATCGTGGTAAATGGGCCGGCTATGTGAGCTGATAGCTCCTTGAGAAGCCTTGGCTGAAGATTATCAGGATCCTTTGATTTCCATGCATCTAGTTTTATTAGGCAGTTGAGCACGATGTCTCGGTCGACGTCAACTGAATCTATCCCGTGTTCCTCTGATACAGCCAGAGCTGATCCTATAGGGAGTGATGACTCCTGTGTAAAGACTTGGGAGAAGTAGTCTGCCATTGCTTCTGCTTTTTCTTGAACATCTTCGACTGTGTCATTGTCAGTAGTCAGGTTTATGACACCGAATTTCGCCAGCTGTGTGCTCGAGACGAAAGTCATTCAAAACCGATATAAGCACAGCAATTGATGTTATCTGCAGTTGCACCACGCGGATTCAAAGGGACGGAATTCTTCAAGCGGTATTAGTTATCATCCTTCTAGTGCAAGATGCTTGAGCTTCGCTTTTGAGAAAAGCGTATTTAGTGAAACTTTAAGAAAGTCCATGATTGCCCAATAGGTGAGTTCACTTGAGTGAGTGACATAGTTTACTCGTAACATTGATATCTTGCCTTTCAGTCTGAGGTAACGAAGTGTGTAGATGCCAAGATTTGCATCTTTTATTCATCTGGCAGCTCACACGAATCAGCTTCATCTCGTGGCAAATTAAGTTACTTCACTATTAGGTTAAAGGGAAGAGGAAGACCGAATCACATCTTACTTGAATAAACACTTAGTAGACAGCTGAAAACATACTATTATCAATCAACAAGTAGATGAATCCAGTTCCTGTCAGTGTAGCTTATAAGTCACATAAGATGCCAACTGCCGAAGCTTGTGGACAAGTATGTTGTGTTCAAGAATTATGGAATCCTTCATAAAAGCTAGGAAGATAGCATGTAGTTGGATACCTATTTTCTAGCACATAAATTTGAAGATTGCAAAATGTGAACCTCTGTGATTGGCGACTCCGAGTTGCTGGAATGTTTAGAAATTTAACAAAGCAAAATAGCCCCCACCAAGCTTTTGTTCAAAACAGCTGTCTTCCAAAATTGTAAACCATTTCTCCTACGTATCCATCAAATTTCACACATGTGTGCTACGAAACCAAAATATTCCTTTACATGAGAGCAAGTCTTAAGCAACTTATTCTAAAGAAGTACAGAGCAATACAGCATTATTTACTAATGACTACTTGCAAACAGTTCATTGCTCATAATCCGCTGTTGGTGGATTGTGGCCGAAAACGAAAAATTACCTTCATACAGTTCGTACAGCACTCGTGTATTGCCTCCACTGTGGTCCCACAGTGATCTGACCCCAAAACAGAGGCAGTTTGGTAAATGACAACCCTGAAACCTATGCCAATACTTCTCTTCATATCAGGAATTATTGGCTGTAACTCAGCCTTTTTACCGTTACTGAATATAATCGGTGTGCTAATGAAGTGCCTGTTACTTATGAACTGTCCGTGAGTCTGCTGCAAAGAATCTTGTGAAGCTATCCAGTCACTGAAAAGCCCACTAAGCCACGAACTGTTGTTTTCGCGTTACGATCTGGGGATACTTATTGTAATCGCTACTTCAATAGTTTCTCTAAATAAACTGTTTACCACATATGCTGTCATCACTCAGCCATTCTCAGCCTAAGGAACAAGCAGATTCATTTGCACTCTTAAGAACACTGTCATTATGACTGTGGGTTACTTCTAAAATAATTCAGCGGTCCCCTTTTGCATATTATACACTGCCAGAACAGCAAAACTGACAAAATAAACCTTTCGAGGAAGGATAGACCTTAAACCTACCCACAACTATACAATGTCCCACTGCAACCAGTCCAACCGGGTTTTTTCATAAGGACAGCCAGGTTTACGTTCACGATGAGCAGTGGGTGAGACATGAAGGTAATACTGACTTTTGATGCATGATATCAAAAATTGGGGCGTCATCACAACTGTAGAACTAGAAATACCTCCAGTACTGCTGACTGAAATGCTCAAAACACCTCCAGTCCGCGAACTAAGGCATATGATGAATAGGTATGTAGAACATCAAAAAAGATATTTGCAGCATGAAATGATTTTCTTTGATTCGACGGGCACTGTTACAGTATTGTTGATTCACTAATTTCGGTTCAGCGAGTCTACCCAATCATTTACAACCGGAATGACGCATCACCAATATTAAAGATATAAAAAATAGGAAGTGCGTCGGTGGCACAGCGGTAGAGTGCTCGTTAACCACGCCTCACAAGGTCCGGGGTTCAATCCCCGGCCACTGGACGCACTCCTCTACCTCGCTAAGCCAGTAATAAGGCTGGTAAAGAGGGAAGGTTGGGCATAAGACTAGCAACCCCATCCCGTAAAAACAAACTCTACTACTACGGAAACTTCAAGCCTCTAGCTTGAAGTCCTATGTTTCATCATTCGGAACGTAAAGGAATTTTTAAAAAAATATTTGAGTAAAAAGTAAAAATTATTCAAGGGAAAATGTCTAGAACTTGTCCAAAGGATATGACTTTATTACAAAACCAAGGAATGTGTATATTGACGGCGCAACAGAAAAGCGTAAAATGACGTTGGAGTCAATTCACATCAGTACAAATTAAAACAAAGTCCTTAACACTGGAATGTGCACTACAGATATTATTACCGAAAAAATCAAACAGTGGGAACAAACAAAACTATGTAAACAAGGTTTAAATGCTCTTTGAACACCTTGATACGATACAGAACGCCACATGGATATTGAGTGTTATCATTACAGGCAAGCTGAAAAAATTGAAACACTGCATTGACCAGGACCACACAAGAAATACACACAATCTGCCACATTGATAACATATTTCTTACTATATATACCATTTATCAAATATTTTTTATAGATAGGGCTTCTATGCATAATTTACTGAAGCATTGTAGGCACCAAGCTATTCACATAAATAACCTACACGAGCATACGAAACAGCTATCTGTTGCGAGAAGGTATCAGCTGCACATCAACTAAAACCCTTATGTGGAAGGTGACTAACTAGAAACAGCCGCTATTTCGAAGTGCGAAACATGTGTTCTTAGTACCATGTGAAAGTGGGGTTAAGTATATGACTACACTTTGAACTACCATGTATGTCTCAAATCCCTCGGTAGCATGAGATTCTCAAGGTTTCGCTGATACGGTCTATTGATTACTCTGGTACAGAATACAGAAAGAGACAGTGCTAAGATGCACTTTAGAGTGAGGGTTTCTGTAAACTCGTAACTTCAACATGATTTGCCTAGCACGAAATTAAAGGTATGGCTGAGAGACAGTAAGGAGGGAGGGAATAGAATTAATAGTTGGTTGCCATCAACTAGCTGTTCTTATTACGAACAAGGAAAATACCAACTTTATGTGACCAAAAAATACCTACGGCGTATCTATTCAAAGTTAACTGGACACCAACTTAAAATCTGTCTGGAAACAGCATATCAAAGTGTTACGGAATGAATAGCTATCCACCTGAAAAATGCCACTTCAAACAACTGCAACAGTTATTCCTGGCTGTTTTTAGAGGCATATTTACACTACATTGGATCTTCCATCACTTTTAACTGACTTCAAGACTACCCATAAGCTCTCATTTCCTCTTTGCACGACCTCCTCTTCGACGGCCTGTAGTGTGGTGAGAGCTGTCTGTTAGCTAAAACTGGTAGACAGCAATTTACGTCAATGTTTACGCCCTATATCTTGGTCATGAGAAAAGAAACAAGAACAAAGACTAACTCAACAACCAGTCACAACAGACCTACCACGGGCGGATACGATCCACAGATATATGATCTGACCTTCAAAGAAACGGCCACAAAGAGGTGACAGAATAACCTTCAGCAGGAAAACAACCAATCAGGAGACGTTACCTCTCTACTAACAATAACCCTAATAATAATGTACATAAAAATCTATAAATATCGGTTGATTTTCTCAATAGACGACGATTTGTTGTTTAGCCCTTGTCTTCTATCGTTACAGTATCATTCAGAAGTCTACCCAGCCTATGTTTATTCCACAGTCTCTACAATTTTGCTTAAAAGTAGGTTTTTGACGACTAGACCACCTCTTGTTGCGTATGCTTCCCAGCCGGCCATCTGATCCACAGTATCACGCCTATGAGGGGCAGGCATATTGCTGAAAGTTGGCAGCACCCTAGTGGAAATGCTTCCAGTGAAAGGGAACAGCCAATATTCTCCGAACCTACTTGACTAACACTAGTCCCCAAAACCCAGAAAAGAGGAGGCGGGTTTATTAATCATGTCCCCTAGTGACCTTGAACGTGACTCTGGTTGTTTTTGTGTGTTTTCACACACAAGTTCCGTGAAGTTCATCAAGAGACATATACCCCCACCCAAGCCAACCTATCAAACCAAACGCCCCCAAAGAAATTCGCCCTACCATATATAAACGACATCTTAGAAATCACTGCAAGACTAGAAGGAAATCTTACACATAAAGAGTCAAAGTTCAAGTCAAGGAAACAATTAGTTCTAATACAAGTAGCCTAGAGGGTGTGAAGACACACAAAACAACCAAAGATTCACGTTGGATGTGACCAGGAGAGATGATTAATAAACTCGTGGAGAAATCTTAAAGCTCATTTCAATAAATTGAAGTATTCGGTGAAGATGTCGCTTAGTGTTGGGACAATGAAAGCTTCGCAAATAAACTATCCACCTAGCTCAGAGAACACAACCACATCAAAATCATCCACCTGAGATTACCAAACCCAATATCACATCACTTCTAAATAGTGAGACCTCAAAGTACAATCAAAACACACAGCGATAAAAAAAATAGTACTCAAATATGTTGTTTAATAAAATCACTTTAAAATTTCAATTAGGTAAGATGTCATGAAATATCTGGTTTTGCTTCTTTTTTTCGAGTAAATTTTTTTCTTTTTACAAAATACAAAAAATGATGGGAAAAATCATCCCCGGAGAAAAAAATAATAATAAAAGAAGTCGTCAACATTTATATATATTAGTGTTTTCGTCAGCTGTTGTTCACGCATGCGCGCGCTCACACACTCATACACACACACACATTAAACACCACTCCACACACATAATTGATCTAGTTAGTGAAATAGACCAATTGATTAAAATTGAGAATAATAATGATAATAATAATAATAGTAATCACAGTGTGAAAATAATCAACTCGATCGATCAATCAGTTTGTGTAGCTGTTAACAGGTTCACAGCACACACACAAAAAATACACACAGAGAACGAATTAAGATTGTCTGAAATTATGTCACATATTATATATTGTATAGTAATAATCACAAACAATATATATATATATATATATATATATATATATAGATAGATAGATTATGCAACAACTGGCTCCAAGGATGCATGACTTATATTATCAGCAGCAATCTGTGCAGCAGTTTTCGATCGTCTACTGGCACCTGACTCGTTCAATGCACCATCAAGATATCGTTGATCCCAGATTAATAAACCGAATGCCGAGGCGATAGCAATAGATAGGCAGAAGGTGAAGAATACCTCAAGGAATAAATAACCCTAGAATGAGAAGAACAAAAAAAGAACAGTAGATGTAAACATTTTTTTTGAAAAAAACAAACACAAGAATTGCATTGTACTCTTTCCTACCTGCTGGTCTTATAGAATGAGGGGCGGGGGGTGGCAGGCTAAAAGTACCAAAAAGTAATATAGTTAGGTGAAAACAAACAGAGGGAGAGAGGGAGGTGATTCACCGAATCTTTGTTTACAAATTTATGGCTAGCTGAGAACGTAGGGGTCTCCTGTCTTCGAATGTTTAATCCAGCAACTAGATTACAGGTTTTAGCAGATATACTCATGTCCAATCTTGGAAGAACAAAGTTGAAGCATGCAATCGACAAAACAACTTCCTACTGTCGATATGTTGATGACACATTTATAGTGTGCAACAATGAAAGTCATGCTTCACACTTACTCAGATTATTCAATGATGCACACACCAATATTGAGTTTACTATGGAACATGAAAGTGACGGAAAGTTTCACTTCCTCGAAATTGCCATGGAACGTCTAGAAGATGGTAGTCTTCAGAAGTCAATTTATCGAAAGTCTATATGGAAAGGACAATACTTACAATGTAATAGCTTTTGTCCAAATAGCTTTAAACGCGAACTAGTGAAGACTCTATACTATAGAGATAAGAGATTATGATCTACAGAGAAATTAGAGGAAGAGTTTGTGTTTCTTGAAAAGATGTTGAAGAGCAATAGTTATCCTCAAAGACTCATTAACAAGTACGGATCTGAAGTCTAAAATGTCAAACAAATCACAGTGGAGAAAAAGTCCATTTACATTCAAATTGATTATAAAGGTGAAAACATTGCAGCAATGGTCAAAAGAAGACTGAGTACGTCACTAGCCAGGGAATATCCTGAATCCAAGCTCGTTTCTGTCTGTCGAGCAACTTGCCATTTGGTGCAATCAAAAATCGATAGATATCCTTTTCATGTTAACAACTCCAACTGTATATTTACATGTATCTGCGGGAGCAGTTACATTGGAAGAACAGAAAGAAGAAGGGCATATCTACGATTTTCTGAACAGGTACCAAAAAGCTTTTGTCTAAAGGAAACAAATGCTTTAAACAGTGCCATCGCCAGGCATCTTCTTGACACGGGTCATGAGGTGAACGTCGAAAAGTCGTTCAAAATTATCAATAGGCAAAAGAGCTCAATTCTCCTTAAGTTTACTGAAGCCATTTCCATCAAGCGCCTGAAACCTGATTTGTGCATTCAGAAAGAAGCGGTTATCAGTCTTTCTTTGCCCTGGTAACTGGATATTTTCATCTGAATGCGTAATGCTGAAAAGTTTCCATTGTGTATGATTATTATTGTTCGGAATTGTGTTTAATAATATATATATATATATATATATATATATATATATATATATATATAATTACTATATGCATTTACTGATCGATTGATTTTTGTTTAAAATGAACTCTGTTCAAGTATGTTAAAATTGTTATTGTAGATAGATTTAATAATGTCTTTGGCCTGTAAGCAGCTGACGAAATAAAAGGTAGTACCATTTTATCCTGAAAAAAACTGTAGTTCTTGCTTTGTTCAAATTCATGAAGGCGAATAAATGTATGAAACTAGGTTATAGTAGAATGATGACCAACATTCTATCTCTCAATTTTTCGGTGGAACAACCGGTAGTTATACTGAGGTTAGACTTCGGTGGAGTACTAGATAAGGAGGGGAAATCAATCGACGACGTTGTGAAGTTACGTCAATTGAGATGGTTAGGACAACGTTTGCCTTCCTCAACTGGCAATGTTAGCTGACTGACATAGGACGGATCAGATTGGAAAAGAGTGAGCTAGTGCTAGTCAAACCAAGACATGACTTCATCAGTCACTGAAATAAATCCACAACAGTTAGTTTAAGCCAGCCAGCCAGATACGTAGGGAACTGTAGACTTCCTGACTGGCTGGGCTCCTCAAAATGACGGTGAGAACCAATGATGGCGACTGGAGACAATTGGTGATATGGCTGAAAATCCTCGTTGCCAACGACAGAGCAGATGCATTCACTGATTGTGATTTGACAGTCATATTCAATAAAACTACATTGTTCTTCAACGTTACTATTCTTTTTCCCTGACTCACACTTCCGTTTATTATGTCTCTTTCTCTCTCTTTTGAACCTCCATTTACTCTCTTCTCTTGCTTTTTCTGGTACACACAGGGTGACAACTCGAACTGCTACACATCTGTGCAAAGTTCTACATTGAAACCAGTTAGTCACTAGGTTATAGTGGAGGTATGTGTATGACTGCTGAAATCTAAAAACATCCCACTGAGTAACCGAGTTTCAATACCGAAGTGCTCGGTCCAATCAATCGACGGGAAAATCTAAAACTCAATTAAATAATTAATATGCCCCGTTGCACAAGAGACAGTGGCTCTCGTGGCCTAGTGGATAACGCTATGGCGTTTGAAACTATGGGTCCTGGGTTCCAGCCTCGATGAGAAAACCATCTGTGACTCATTGCGGAATGCAGGCACGTTCAGTTGACGAGTCCCAAATAGGATAAAATGCACTTTATCCTGGATTCCACTGCTAGTCACCATCCACCAATTAACTTCTGATTACACGCTAAGACATCGTCGAAGGATCTACACAAGAAGCCGACATGTCAAACCGAAACCTAGGACTTCGGTCCAATCAATCGACGGGAAAATCTAAAATTGAATTAACAGCAAAATAGTTTATTTAAGTGACTCTTTTCAGCGAATTCATTCACTTAGCTGTACAAACGCAAATATATGTATACATATACGCAATTATTTTTGTATACTTTTGATTGGACACTAGTTAGTAATTAGTGTAATGTGTATGTGTGTCTAGTCCTCTTATGTGTTTGGTGCAGACTGAATTCTATCAGTCAAGTTTGCAATATGGCCTACCATGCCAGGCTAAGTGGCTCGGCATTACGGTGCACCTTGAATTGTTGATATTAGATGGTTGGAGGCAATCGGCCAAAGGAAGCCTCATCTGACCTAGGTTTCGTGCTAGTTGGTTTTCACTCACCAGTCAGTCAGCAAGGCGTATCCGCCACCCTATAGGAACTCATGTTCCTTTTGAGTTTCAAACTGACTGATAGAATTCAGTCTGCACCAATGAAAGGACTGGATACATTCCACTTATTACTGTCCAATTAAAGAATTTACAACAGTCCAAAAGGAGGTCAACTGCGAACTCGAATAGCTCAGTGGTGACGTCTCTGACTGACTGCAGCACTCACTGAGTGGTGCGGGTTCGAATCTCAGAAGGGAACAATTGGAAACCGGCACTAGAGTACTGAACAGTTGTTTCGTCAGCCTAGTTTCGGACTCATCGGTAGTGCGCTTTCACCACTCCACTGAAGTTCCAGCCCAGGACATTCTGGTTACAAGGCAAGTCCGTAGATCATTCAGCCATTGGGACCCGACTCCTCAATGGCCAACCCATGAATTTTAACTTCTACCGATTCGTGATGTTAGCGCGACTGGCACTAACCGATATCATCCCTGTCGAGCATTTGTCCTCGCTCCCGACAGGATGGACCCGCATTGGTCACGACTTTTCATTAGAACTCCAGGCAACTACGTCCTGTAGCCAGTACATTAGCGAGCATTAGTGAATACTAATCAAACATTAACTAGAGCGGTGAAAATTACAAAGATTAGACTAAAGGTTGCGTAATACGAAAAATTGAATGTTAATGAAAAAGCCTGGGGACAAGTAACAAAATATATTTAAAAAATTACGCAACAGGTGAACAAAACATCCACAGCTTCCTGACAATCACCTCCAACCATTTAATATCAGTTCAGAGTGCATCGTGATGGATATCACCACATATAGAGAGCTTAGCGACCACATTGCAAACATGATGTCAATCGTCAGCCCGAATAGCTTAGTAGTAAAGATCCTGAATGAAGCGGGCTCGAAACTCAGAGGGGACATGAGTTCCTTTAAGGAGGTAGCTGGAGTGTGCCTTGCCAACGAGTGCCAACAAGCACACAACCTAGGTCTGTGGCTTACTACGGACTGTCTCTAACACCAATTCGGAGAACATCGCGTCGGCGAGCCATCTAGAACTTGGTGACTATGTTGCGAACCTAACTGACACAATTCAATCTGTACTAGCACCAAAGGTTAGAAGCATGACACATTGGTGACTAATCTAAGGAACAAAACTCAACTATACTAGCAATAACCCAAATACTCACAAAAGAAACTATGTGCAGACATTGCTTAAAAGAGTTCAAACACAATCATGTAGCACTCTAGCGTTGAAAATAATGGAAGGAAAATACCTACTAACTGTCTTCAAAAAGAATGCATATCCCCCTCACAATTTCATCAAAAATTGTTTAAACTCGAGTCATAACACCAACAAGGAACCATCATCAAAGAACACAAGAAAATTCATTCTACCATACATAAAAAATATCTCTGAAATAACAGCTAGAATATTGAAACCGTTTGAAGTAGATATAGCACACAAGCCAGCCAGAACCAACCAGCCAGCACAATCACTTCATTCGATATTGTGCACACCAAAAGACTCATCCAACAGGAAAAGAAGATAAAATTAATACCATTTACAAAATAAATTGCATGTATGAACTGTAACAGACATTACATCGGCCAAAGTGGGCGTCCCCTTCGAATCACAATCCAGGAACACAAATCAGCCGTGAAAAGACATGATATATATTCTTTCATATCAATGCATGTATATAATTATGGACATCAGTTTGATTGAGATAATGTCGAAATTTGAAACAGAGGAAACACCAAAAGTGCAATCAGGGAATTCCTAAAAGCCTGGTACTCAAACGAATATGCAATTAACAAACATGTTAATATAGACCAAATCTATCAACAAATAAAAAGTAGATCATGTGACCAGAAAGTTAAAAATCCAAAAAAAATTAATACAGATGTAAAGATGGTTACTGGGAGACGCAATTCTATCACTCATGGAAAAAAATTTAAATC